TCCATTTGCAGTCCCTGTTCACCCTGAGGGCAGAGACTTAGCTCAGTCAATTCCAGGTCACCTTCTTCCCTTTCAAGAAATGAGGGAGGACTTTCTGTCACCTGTGGCTCATGTCATTCTTTTTAAGTGTGAAGTATCCTCACACTTGTTTTACCTTTAATCTCAGAATCTAATGGACATTTTTTTTAATTTCCAAATTATTTTCTCTCTTAATTTTATTGTTCAGAGTATGAAGTTCATATGCTTTCTATTCTGTTTTATATTGGAACTGTTCTTTAATGTCTGTAAATAACTTTACACTATTTCACTATGCATCTGGTAAGGATGTTGATATTCTTTTAACACTCAAAATCTAATTTAACCAGTTTAGTAATCAATAGGTTCTTTCTTCTCTGAAACAATCTGTTAAATTAGTGACTTCTGAACTGGTCTCCAACTAGGTAGATGTTCCCCTCAAGACCCTTTTGTCCTTTCTGTGCAGATGTTGAAGGATGGGCTGGATTAATGTAGAACTTTCTTCCCACAGAGCCCATCTGTTCATGATGAACGGATTGCTCAGAACTCATTTTCTCCAGGTGACCCTTTTTCATGTTTTTCAGGCCTAATAACTATTTTTAATTTCATATTTTTTAAATATTTTTCTAGAAAAGAGAAATTAAATGCTTGGGTTTGATTAAACCCATGAACGAGAAGCTTCTCCTGCTCAAGAATATGAAAGGCAATCTGGAATTAGAACAGAGCCTTTCTACTGTTCTATCCAGGCCACCACTTACACCCAGCTCTGCTCACTGAACTCAGACCTCTTCAGGGTAACTTGGTAAACTTTCTCCCCCTCTGAGCCTCAGTGCCCCCACCTGTAACATGGAGATGATAGAGTAGGCCAGGAATTCTGAGTCTGAGCAAATGGGATCCCTGGAATGATTTTCAGAATTGGGCATGTGTCTGCATTTGGCAGTTCTCTGGGAGATGGTGCCCAGTTATATTTAGAACTTGAAATGTGTCCCAGTCTTCCAAAAAAAGTGAAAACCACTAAGAAGGCAGGGGCAGAGGCTCAGAGAGAGAGACATGCCTCTCTTTCAGCTTCTCTCTCTGTTGGTATCACAGATAAATCTTAAGTTTGATTGTATCATCTTTTGGTATTAAACCCTCATATAGTTTCCCATCACCCTCAGAACAAAAAGTCTGAACTCCTCAGAGTAGCTACTTCAGGAAACCCTGGAGCTTGGTGGCTCTTCAGAATTGTTCCAAATTGAGGGAAGGGACAGGCTTCCATATCCTGCATCAACCAATCATTGAATGCTGGCTGTCTAGGGAAGAGCTAAAAAAAATTGGATGAGGCAGTTTCCTTTGGCTGAGTGCCAAGTGGACAAAGGACAATGCAGTTGCAGCAGAGTGTGTGGGTTTCAGTAGGAGAGGAGGGCTTTCTGGAGAACTGTGTGAAAAACTCACTTGTGGGTCTCTGTATGGAGTTTATTGCCCCTGCTCCCTCCTGTTACAGTGGGCAGCAAAGGGCCGTCTGTCCCCTGTATTGAGGTTCTCCCTATGTGTATACTTGTGGCAGAGGAAGGGGGTGTGTTGATTCTAAGCATTGAACAATGTGTTTTTGTCATACAGAATAATCTAACCTGAGAGTCCCAGAGGAAGAAGAAAGAAAAAGGGAGGAATGGCTCTTTCTAAGGTAAAAGTCATAATCTTAGTTGATTTTTCTGTTTTCTCCTTTCTAAACTGCCTCATTTTGGCCTTACTATTATAGTCTGTCTGTGAAGTATCCTGCCTAAAATGTTGACTCTCACACAAGGCCTTGCCTTCTCATCTCTATGCAGATTCCATCTCATTGTGACCCGTGACCTGGAGCTTAGGAAGAGGCTCCTTTTAGGGGATCATCCTGTGAAGGGTTGTCTACCCAGGCATGGATTGGAGATGGGGAGTAGGCTCTGTGGTGTCAGTGAGGCTGGACAGTAAGGATTGTGTAGGGGACCCCTCTGGATGCCCTTTCAGCTCTATGTAAACCGGGATTAAAACAGACTCCTTAAGTAAGTGATGTATTAACGTGCACAAGTGACTGGAGACCTCTGGAAAAGAAGACTGATGGGGGAAACTTGCTTTGTCTGATGTTATAAACACTTGAAGTGAATCTGTGTTTCTGACTGCAAAATATTAATACTTTGGAATAGAATATGAAGATCAGAAATAGAAATAAAGAATAGAAAGAGTGTTTTATGACACAATTAGTTTTTAAAAGGTAGAGTCAACCTAATTGTCTAACAGTAAGGGTTCTTTATTCACAGCACATCCATCTCACAAAGACCCTGGTATTCGTTCAGGGACTCTGCTGCAGTAGGTGTTTTAGATAAAAATGGTTAGAATTTAGCCAAGACATAGGAACAGAACTTCCTGTCATCAGAGAGGCTGGGGCCAAACTTTGATTCCACTAATTGTTGTTAAACGTTATACTTTTTTGTATTAAATATTTCATGTGTGTGTTTTTGTGGTTAAGTTCCACACAGTGATGCAGTGTAGAGACTAGGAAGTAAAATATCCCCTGCCCTGTCACGTGTTCCACCATCACTTACTATCTCTGTCAGGAACTACTGTTAGTTCTCCTTGGTGCAAATCTTGTAAAAATGCATTTACATATCATAATGTGATTTTAGAAAATATTCTTCGGTAAATGTTTTGTTAAGATATTTTCTGCAAATTTAAATATTGAGATGTCATATGTTTGGGAGTTGTTTTCATGATAGTAAACATAGAGATAACTTGCTTTTTATATCCTCATTGGAACATTCTCTTAATGAAGACACATGGGTAGTTTACAGTTTTTCACTGTTGTAAAAAATGCCTTAGGGCTGCTTCTGGCAGGCCGACTTCACTACAGATGTCTGAGGATTTTTCCAGTTGGGCGGTATGACCATGGTTTGCTGGGTTAATGATGGTGTTCCTGAGGAAGCACTTACTAAAGAAAGATTTTATTTTTTTTATTTTTTTAAAGATTTTATTTATTTATTTTTTCCCCCCAAAGCCCCAGGAGATAGTTGCATGTCATAGCTGCACATCCCTCTAGCTGCTGTATGTGGGATGCGGCCTCAGCATGGCCGGAGAAGCGGTGCGTTGGTGCGCGCCAGGGATCCGAACCCGGGCTGCCAGCAGCAGAGCGCACGCACCCAACCGCTAAGCTACGGGGCCGGCCCTAAAGAAAGATTTTAAATCAACTATCTTAAACATACTTAGAGAGCTAAGGAAACCATGAACAAAGCGCTAAAGGAAAGTAGGAGAACAATGTTTCAACAAATAGAAAATATCAATAAAGAGGAATTATAGAAAAGGGATGAAATAGAAATTCTGGAGCAGAAAAGTAAAATAACTGAAACTGAAAATTCACTAGTAAGGATGCCAAAAGACCATAAACATGAAAAAGGACAAAGTTGGAGGATTTATAATTCTCAACATCAAACCTTACTACAAACCTAGAGTAATCAAAACTGTGGTTCCAGCAGGAGGATGGAAACATAGATCAGAGTGATAGAACTGAGAGTCTACAAGTAAACCCATCCATCTATAGACAATTTCTTTTTTACAGTGGTGCCAAAAACATTCAATGGGAAAAGCATAGTCTCTTAACTGGTGCTGGGAGAATTGCATATCCACATGAAAGAGAGTGAAATTGAACCTCTACCTTTTACTATGTAAATAAATCAATTCAAAATAAAGACTAAATATAAGAGCTAAAACTATAACACTCTTAGATGAAAACATAGGGGTAAATCTTGATAGCCTTGGGTTTGGTGGTGTATTTTTAGATACGACACCAAAAGCAAAGAAAGACAAAATAGATAAATTTGCCTCCATCGAAATAAAAAGTGTTTGTGCATTGAAGAACACTGTTACTAAGTGAGAACATAATCTACCAAATGGGAGAAAATATTTGCAAATCACATATCTGGTCAGGGTCTAGTATCCAGACTATGTGAAGAACTCCCACAACTCAATAACCAAAGTACAAAGAACTGAATTAAAAAATGGTCGAAGGACTTTAGTAGACATTTCTCCATAGAAGATATACGGTGACCAACGAGCACATGAGAAGATGTTCATTGAAATTTGTCATCAGGAAAATGCAAAATCAAAACCACAATGAGCTATCATTTCACACCCAATAGGATGACTATACTAAAACAGAAAATAACAAGTGTTGGTAGGGATGTGGCGATACTAGAATCCTGATACATTGCTAGTAAAATGGTGTAACCACTGTGAAATACAGTGTGGCAGATCCTTAAAAAATTAAACCATGTGACTTAGTAATTCCACTCCCATGTATATACCCAAAATAATTGAAAACAGGTATTCAGAAACACACTTGTACATGAAAGTTCATAGCAGCCCTATTAAGATTAGCCAAAATGTGGAAATAACCCGAATGTCCATCAAGGGATGAGTGAGTAAATATACTGTGGTATAATTATATAATGCAGTATTATTTGTCCACAAAAAAGGAATGTAATACTGATACACACTACACCATGGATGAACCAAAAACATTCTTCTAAGTGCAAGTAGCCACACACAAAAGGTCACATTTCATTCCATTCTATTAATAGGAAAATATCCAGAATAGGTAAATTCATAGACATGGAAAGCATGTTAGTAATTACAAGGGACTGAGGGAGAAGGGGAATGGGAATCAACTGCTTAATGGGTAATGGATTTCCTTTGGGATGATAAAGATGTTTTTGAACTAGAAACAGGTGAGGTTTGTACAACATTGTGAATATACTAAAAGCCACTGAATTGTACCTTAAAATAGCTAACTTTGTTATGTGAATTTCACCTCAGTTACAAATAATAGAGAAATATAACTTGCTCAAAATTATCTTACATGGATCAGTGAGAACACTCCCTCCAGCAGAGTCAATCCTTACGCATGTCTCCTTGTCTCCCTTTGTGTCAAAATAAGAACTTTGTCCCTGTTGACATGGTGAAATGTGCTTTCCTTGCAGGGACAGTTGGCCTTCAGAGATGTGGCCATAGAATTCTCTCGGGAGGAGTGGGAATGCCTGAACCCTGCTCAGAGGGCGTTGTACAGTGATGTGATGTTGGAGAACTACAGGAACCTGCTCTCCCTGGGTGAGGATAATTTCCCTTCTGAAGTTAACTACTTTTGTATATCTTTGTGTTTTCCCTTGAGAGTCTCTTGGGAGCCCCTAATTTCCTTGTCTGAGTTTCAAATCCCTATTCTTGAGAGAGTGATTGAAGCTGTTTGGATTCAGAAAGGAAAGGCTTCCTAGTGTGGCACATGGGCTCTAACTTCCCCTTTCTTCAGAAGTTCTGTACATGTTGTGCTTGGTTAGTGGTGGTTGCAGAACACCAGCAGTCATAAATGATCTTATGGGATTACTTATGATTACATAAGTAATCTTATGGGAAATTTTTAAAAATATCTGACTCTGTGGTTCTACCCTTGTACTTTGGATTCAGTAGTTCTTGGGAGAGAGCTAGATACCTGCATGCTTAAAATAACCCCTTAGCATTCAGAAGGAAGTAATCAGCTGACTGATTTTTGAAATACTTCTCTAGACCCATCTATAATGTCCTCTCTTACTGAACAAAGAGCGGAGAGCTGAGAAAAGTATAGCACATCAGGTTCTTTTTTTCTTTGTAAGTTGAAATCTCTCTTGAGCACAACATTATCTCCATTTTGGAGCAAGGGAAACAGCCCTGGACTCTGAAAAGTGAAGGGAGAATAGGAAAAAATGCAGATAGATGGGAATGTATGGCGGTATGAACACAAGTAAGAGCTCAGATGGGCACAGAGTGAGCTGCTCCATTAAATATTGTTTAATATTCAATATTTTCTTTCAGCTGGGAAAGATCTGTGGGAAAATAAAAGTTTATTTCTTATAAACTCTCAAAGGAAATCTCTCCCCTGCCAACACCGACACACACACACTTACTACTGTGTTATTCAAATGTGTAAAAGTTTAAAATCACACTCTACCATGATGGTCCGTCTCCTGCAGAGGCAGGCAAAGATTTATCATGACATTCAACACTAATATCTGGCCCCTCTGACCACTTTGGTCCCTTGGTTTGAGGGAGACCAAGATGGCTGTCTCTATGGAGTCTTCTTTCCCCTTGATCTCTCTTGCTTCTCAGTCCATAGAGATCAGAGCTGAGGCCTCTGTAGTCCTGACCTATTCAGTTTGCATTCACATTTTGTGTCCTTGGGAGATCTTCTCAGGCGATAGGCAGACAAAATAGCTGCTGTTCCATAGTGTCTGGGGTTCCATGAAACTCCCTGGGCTGTGTCAAGCCCTGCCTGCCTGTTTAGGCCCCTCAGCCATCTCTTCAGTTCTCTTTTTGCCACACGTGTGGAAAGAGCAATAGGATTTGAGATTGTTGTTACTGAGCAGTAATATAAAGACTAGACACTGAGATCCTCTCTTTGGTCCCCATTGCTACATGGGAGTATATCTCAGTCTTGCAGGCACTCACCCCACAGACTGTAGGCACGTTACACAGCCCCTTCTCCAGAACCCCACAAAACCTGACTCTGTGATTTTACTCCCATACCTTATATTTTTCTCCCTCTTTCTGCTGTGTCAAGGAACATAGAAAGACTTTGGTCTTCCTGATTTCTTATTCTCCTCTAAGATCTTGCCTCTGAAACTTGCTTTTGAAATACACATTCTAAGGGTCTGAAGTTTCATCCTCTTTTTCTGCTGTGATAACCCACCTTTAGGTGATGGACAACTTCTGGTGGACTCTCCCATGGAGGGTGTTTACTGGGTAACAGAAAATTCTTGAAGGAGAGCACTGATTAATATGTTACAGTATTATCCTGCTGCATACAGAAGTGCCTATTGAACCCCCTGGGAGAGTGGTCAGCATGTCCCGGGATACTGACATAGAAGGTATTGGGAGAGCCTAACTGATAAGTGCCTCCAGTTGTCTTTCTGCTTTTTTTTGGAATTTAACAATGCCTCCCTAAGGCAGTGGGACATAGTTGATCAGATAATATGATCATCTCCTGTGAGCCCACAATAAAAGGTGTAGTAACTTAACTAAAGAGAACGCTGTCCAGGTTCACAACCTAGTATCTATGAGACTATTGACTAAACCACTGTGTATGCCACATTGTTTATCCCCTGTGTGTGCTCTTGTTCATTCACCCTCGACAAATACAATTTTGACACATCTTATTGAGGAAGTTCATAAAGTCGAATAATGCCTACATTTTTTAAGTCTACTGTAATTTCTTTTGTTTAAGCCACTGTCATCTTGCTAATTTCATTGTTATAAATAACATTTTTTATTTGTTTAATTACCAGTTCCATATTTTTGATGATATCCATAGTGTTCTTTGTTTTACATTTGCAATTGGTGAGGTCATGGAATGAAGACTTTTATATATTTTATAGAATTTCTTTCTTGAGTGTTTATGACTCAACATTTCCCCAAAACCTGTGTAACCTCCAGAATTTTTTCTTTTTTCATTTTCTTTGTGAGGAAGATCAGCCCTGATCTCTTTTTTGCTGAGGAAGATTGGCCCTGGGCTAACATCCATGCCCATCGTCCTCTACTTTATATGGGACACCACCACAGCATGACATGACAAGCAGTGCGTCAGTGCACGCCTGGGATCCGAACCAGTGAACCCTGAGCCGCTGCAGCAGAGTGCACGCACTTAACTGCTGTGGCACTGGGCCGGCCCCAGAGTTTTTTTGAAAAGATAGTCTTAGTTGTTCCTTTTACTTCTGTTTCATATTACTTCATACCTACTATTAACGTACACTTTCATTTTGTAGTAGACTATTTTTTCAAGCAGTTTTAGTTTCACACAAAAATTGAGCAAAAGGTAGAGATTTCCCATATATTTCGTACCTCCACACTTGTAGACCCTCTCCATTATCAACATCCCACACCAATGTGCTACATTTGATACCATTCATGAACCTACACTGACACCTCATTATCACCCAAAGTCCATCTTCACCTTAAGAGTTCACTCTTGGTGTTGTGCATTCCATGGGTTGGTCCAATATATAATGACACATATCTTACAGAGTAATTTCACTGCACTAAAAATCCTCTGCTCCACCTAGTCATCTCTCCCTCCCTCGTAACCCATGCAACCACCGATCTCTTTTGTCTCCATATTTTTGCCTTTTCCAGAATGGCATATACTTGGAATCAAATAGTAGATAGACTTTTCAGATTATCTTCCTTCACCTAGTAATGTGCATTTAAGTTTCCTCCATTTCTTTTCATGGCTTAATAGCTCATTTCTTTTTAGTGCTGACTCATATTTCCATTGTCTGTATGTACCATAGTTTATTTATCCATTCACCACCTGAAGGACATCTTGGTAGTTACCAAGTTTTGGAGATTATGGTTAAAGGTGCTGTAAACATTCACATGCAACTTTTTGTGTGGGCGTAAGTTTTTTATCTCATTTGGGTAAATACCAAGAAGCATGATTACTAAATTGTATTGTAAGAGTATGCTTAGTTTTGTAAGAAACTGCAAACTGTGTTCCAATTTGGCTCTACCATTTTGCATTCCCACCAGCAATGAAAGAGTTCTTGTTGGTCCACATCCTCATCAGTGGTTGGTGGTGTCATTGTTTTACGTTTTGACCACTGTCTTAATTGTACAGTTGCATCTCATTTTTACACTTTTTTAGCTTAAATCTATTGCTTTTTTTTTTTTTTTTTTGGTGAGGAACATTGGCCCTGAGCTAACATCCATTGCCAATCTTCCTCTTTTTGCTTGAGGAAGATTGTCCTTGAGCTAACATCCGTGCCAGTCTTCCTCTATTTTGTATGTGGGACACCACCACAGTGTGGCTTGATGAGTGGTGTGTAGGTCCATACCTGGGATCCAAACCCATGAACCCTGGTCCGCCAAAGCAGAGCTCACGAACTTAACCTCTACATCACCGGGCTGGCTTCTCTATTGCATGTTTTAAACTGAGAATTTTTGATACCTTAAAAACACTTTTTAAATTAAGTTAGTGTCTTAGTCACAGAAATACCACTCAATTGGTTTGCCATAGGTTTTTATATACGATACTTGGCTTTTTCCATATATATTTACTTTTATAAAAATAACTTTTGAATTTTATCTTAAATGCACTGAATTTTTTTCTTGCTACAAATAATTTATTCTAATAATTATTCTCCCTGTCTAGATTGTCATGCATGTCTTGATATACTAACCTCATCTTCCAATATCTCATTTCATTTAGTAGAAATCTTAGGCAATTTTTACACTCTGTGGTTTCCTCGTTACTCCTGTTTCTGACACTTGTGTTTCCAGACAATTTCTTAAGCTCTTGGAATTGCATATTTCAATTAATGCATGAAGCCTGTTTTGTTCCCTGTCCTCCTTTTCAATGAATTGCGTAAAAAGTCACCTGGTCCTTATTGACGCACATCCCATTGCTGTCCTAATATTCTGCCTATTATTGGCTGCTTATAGACCTCTGCCATGGATTGCCATGGCACTGCCAAAAATTGCTTCTAGAGTTACATGCTGCTACTGACTGCCCCTCCATATCCACAATTGTGTGCTCTATGTCATTTAGTAATATTCCTTAAGGGTATTATTTTCTGATGATGTTTATGAAATCAGAAATCATTCACTTTTAATCAATACTAATTTCTATTGATTCTTAATGATAACTATCTACTACTGCACATAGTAAGAGCACTTTTCAGCTGATATCTTTTATATGTTTTGAATTGTAATGTCAAAAGATCCAAGGGTATGATTTCAAATAATTAAAAAATTCTAGCAAAAAAATACTCTTATTTTTATATAACAAACAAGGACACTTGGACTAACAAACTTGATGTGTCAAAATTGATAAATTTCTATTTTTAAAAATATATAATATAGTTCATAAGTTATGTTTTACCAAATATAATCACATTCCTGAAGAGTTGAAACCTTGGGGAAAGCCTCCTGCTAACTTTGTTTCCACCATACAGCCTCTGTGCCCCCAGTCAGAGGTCATCATCTAGCACCCATGGTCACCCTCCATTGCTGGACCCTTGAGAGGGTTTTATTGCATCCACATATGTTTGTACAGAGTGAGTTCATCCTTTCTCCTCTTGATGGCCATTTTCAGCTTTTTGCTTTTGGGTCTTACTGAGAACAATCTTGTACATGTCTTCTGGAAGGTATGTTTGACTAAGTATATGCATAGAAATTTAATTCTTGGGTTATTTAGTTTGATCCTTTTTGGAGCAAATACTGGAGTAAATCTACATTCTTCCCGTAACACCACACTGTCTCCCTTTTTGATCTCTTCCTTGTTTGCCTCATCCCCAAAGTATAGTTCCTACAGAATGAGTCAGTATTATGTGTCTTGCTAAATGAGTTCCTCTCTTTTTCCAAGGTGAAGATTTTAACTGCCATACCACAATCATATTTTCATAGATTTGCAAGCACAAGCACTGATCCCACATTGCCCATTACTCCCTTCCCTTCACTTTTCCTGTTCTAATTCCCAGTCCTGGCCTTGCCACAGATCTTTCATTGTTCTAAAAGAACTCTACTGGTACCTCCATGTATCTTGATTTTGAGCACCTGTGCACCCCAGTATCCACGGGGCTGGCTCTCCTGCACACTGCATACATTGCATAAGGAAAGACCCCTACTCCTACACATGACAGCTTGTTCAGGACAGCAACATGCTCTAGTCACTGCACCAACATGTGCAGGACATGATGACTCATGCTGTCATCTGGGAATAGAGAGACAGTCACACTGTAGGTGACACAACTCAGGTCCTGTATCTCCCTTGAAACATTTCTTCCTAAGCTCTTGGTATTTGCTATGACCTGTTGTCATCTGTATGCCTGGATGGGCACTGGTGCTTAATGCTTATGAACATGCCATCTTAGTCTTCACACTCAGGCTCAAATCCTGGCTCTTGAGTTTGCTTTCTGTGTGACTTAGGGATAGATATATAAACCTCATGGACCATTTTTTTATATTAAAAATTGTAATGATTTACCTCAAGAATAGCTAAATAAGTTAATGCTGTTAGAGGGCTTAAAATATTGTATGGCATGTAGTAAAGACTGAAAAGTTACCTTTAGTTAATAAGATATGTCAATTTTCTGTCTTATTTATTATGATATTGACCTTGGCCTGCGTTATATCTTGTATGTTTTCTTACTGTAATTTTTCCATATTAATGTTTTCTCTGACCTTAGATAATAAATTTTGAAAGCACATCCTATATACTATCTGTATTTTTGAACTTACAACTGGATAATTAAATGATGCTCCATAGTTAGAGAGTTGATCTGTGTACTGGCTATTATATAACTGCAGGCATGAAATCATAATTGAGATTTCAGATAATCTACCCTAATTCTTAATCTTTATAATAATGTGTGTTTACCTGAAACCGATATTCCAAAATTCACTGATTCTCAACATATTTTTCTTTTTTCCTATTGTGTGCCCCTTCTGGAATGTAAATTCTTTCTTTAGCTCTTTAGGAAGAATTCTTTAGAATTCCGGAGGCTATTAGTTTGTATAACTGTGGTTACTTATTTTTTTGTGTGTGTGTGAGGAAGACTGGCTCTGAGCTAACATCCATTGCCAGTCCTCCTCCTCTTGCTGAGGAAGATTAGCCCTGAGCTAGCATCTGTGCCCATCTTCTCTATTTTGTATATGGGATGCCACCACAGCATGACTTAATGAGTACTGCATCAGTCTGCGCCCAGGACCCAAACCTGTGAGCCCTGGGCTGCCAAAGCAGAGTGTGTGAACCTAACCACTACACCACCAGGCTGGCCCCTAACTGTAGTTACTTATTAATGTACCTGCTAGATTTATCATGGGTTACTAAAATGTTACTAACACAGTACTATCAAAAATCTGTATATCACAATAATAATATACAATTTTTTTAGTATCTTTTTTCTGCATCATATCAACACATGTTATTAAACACAGGTTTTTGTGTGTGTGTGAGGAAGATCAACCCTGAGCTAACATCTGTTGCCAATCCTCCTTTTTTTTTTTTTTTTCCTGAGGAAGATTGGCCCTGGGCTAACATCCATGCCCATCTTCCTCTACTTTATATGGGATGCTGCCACAGCATGGCTTGACAAGTGGTCCG